AGTAAGAATTAAAATAGCAGTTAGCAATGCTTTTTGTTTTGTTTATATATAATAAATTGAATTTTTGCCTCATGTCTGACTTAGTTAAATTTGGTACGTTACAATGATACTTATAGATTCTTGATTGTTTTATTTCCTCCAAAATTTATATATGAGTGGGTGCAGGATTTTTATAGTCTATTTGGTCTTTTGAGCACACTGTTTCCTCAATTGGTGTCTCAGGTTGCCAGTGTTCCAATCCCACATACTTTGTTGAACAGACTACCTGTTCATACAGGAGCTGTATTGTTGTATAGCCTCATTCCTTCCGATGGGTGTGGAGCAGGATTAAAGCACACTTTATAGGGGTTCTAATTGTAGATGCCTAATTGACTTGATGAATAGTAAATGCTTGAAATTTAAACACACACACAGACACACTTACACACACATAAACCTGTTTCAGAGCTGATCTGCATGACAGAACAAATACCTCACAGGTGTTGAATACTTAAAGATAAAAGAGTAGACTTTCCATATTTCCCAAGAATTTTCTTTTGAAGTTTATATGGATTTTCTTATTGTTTTCTTTTCTTAAAATGGTTCATGGCAAGAATCCATCTCATCTTAGGCTGCACTTTTCACTTCTGAAGACAAACCTGAGTTTTAGAAGTTGGCCAAAATTAAAAGCAAGAAAATATGTCAACAAGTAAATTTGTACACACTTTCTGGAAAGGGAATAGGAGAGAAAAAAACTGCTGACTCATCTTTGGCCTAGTAGAGTCAGAAGTTCTTTTCTTAATTCTTCAATAATGAGTTCATGCTCAAGGTCTCATGGGTTTGCCATCATTACTTGAAGAAGAATTAGACTTCTCAGGCTTAAAAAATGACAGATGGAAACAAATTTTTAAAAATCAGAAGAGTCTTCAGTTTCACATGCATTCGTATGTGTGTGTATGTACTTCTATACAATTTTGTTACATGTAGATTCTTGTGACCATCACCAAAGATCCTTCCACCCCTTCAGCACAGCCCTCTAACCTCTGGCCACAAATAATTGTTCTCTGTCCCTATAATTTTGTCATTTCAAGAATGTCCTATTATAGAATCTATAGGTGCAGTTCTTTGAGATGAGCTTTTTTTTACTTAGCATGATTAAATTCCCTTGAGAGATGTCCAACTTACGTGTGTCAATAGTTTGTTTCTCTTTATTGCTGAGTAGTGCTTAATGGCATGAATAAACCATAGTTGAACAATTAATCTTTCGAAGGACTTAGGGTTGTTTCTAGTATTTGGATAAGAATAAAGCTTCTATGAACATTCATTTTCAGGTTTATTCATAAATTTTTATCTACTCAAATTATTGGTCATAGATAATAGGATAAAATGTGCTGTCCCATTTAGACATTTCCTCGAGGTGATTGTGTTAACCCCAGAAAGATTATCTGGAATTTCAGTTTTCCTCAGTTACCTGGGTTTCTGACATTAAATCTGCATCAGTCACCCTGGGACAGTAAGGAAAGGTGACTCTTCCCATCAGTATCTGTGACACTTTTGATTACATTTCTAGTTAACACTTATTTGTGTAATTGTGTTGTTCAAAAGATATAATGAAAGTTCCTTTTCTTGAAAACGATAAATGTATTAATGTTTCTATACACATCACAAGGAGAACTTTTAAAAATGTCTAGCTTACTAGAATCTGACATTACCAAAAGCAATCAGAAAATCATCTTTAATTATTTTTTAGTCAGTTAAAAACTATCAGAAAATAACTCTGTCACAAATAAGATTAATTCTTGAGTAAGAATAGACCTTTTAAATTTTGGAGAGAGTTTTTTACTGGTTATGTACATAAAACACAAAAATGGTCATTTTAACCATTTCTGTATGAACAGTTTAGAGTCCTGGTATGGTACTATGGGTTAATACACTGGACTGCAAAGTCTGAATTGCATGGTCAGCAGTTCAAGTTCACTGGCACTCCTCAGAAACACTACACAGGGTTGCTATGGGTCGGAAACGACTCAATGGTACTTAACAACAATATGTACAGTTTAGTGGCATTAATTATCAGTGTTATGCAAATATTACCACTCCTTAGTTCCTACATTTTCTCATAACCCCAAACTGAAGCCCAATATTTAAACAATGTTCAGTGCCATTGAGTCAATTCTGACGCATATGGACAATGCAAGGTAACACTGCCGGGTCCTATGCCAGCCTCACAATTGTTAGGCTTGAATCCATTGCTGCTGTCACTTAGCTAGTCCATCTTGTTGGAGGTCTTCCTCTTTATTGATGACCCTCCACTTTAATGGATGTTTGTAGCTGCTTCCTCTTCATTTTGAGTTGGCCCTATCAGCAAATGAAGGTTCCAAAAGCTTTTTTCCATTCATGCCTTCATGATCAACTTTACTTTGAGGAGGAAGCTCTTCCCAGTTGTATTTTAAATGCCTTCCAACCTGAGGGGCTTATCTTCTGGCACTATATCTGACAGTATTCTGGTACTATTCATCATGTTTTTATTTTCTGGCACGTTATCTGACAATGTTCTCTCCATAAGATTTTCAGTGGCTAAACAGTCACAAGTAGTCTGCCTCTTCTTTCTAGTCTGTTTTAGTTTGGAAACTGTGGAAACCTGTCCACCATAGGTGATCCTGCTGGTTTTTAAAATATTGGTAACATAGCTTCTAACATCACAGCAACATGCAAACTGACAGACCAGTGGTGTCGCTAACAGTAACTCCCTATTATCCTTTGTGTCCTCAGACTCTGGTAACCACTAATCTGTCTCTTTCACATTTGCCTATTCTAGATATTTCATGTAAGTGGAATCATGCAATATTTGTTCTTTTGTATGTGTTTCATGTCACTCAGCATAATATTTTCAAGGTTCATTCATGTCATAGCATGATCATAATCTTGTGTTAGATCATAGTTTCATCCCTAGTTAGCAATATATATTAGAACTTTGCCCATTTATTTCTTAAGAGTAAATAAAATATCCACAGTTGGAAAAGTGAGTTAGTGAGGGCACTGATTTAGAAATCAGAAAAAGAAGTAAATTAGAAATTATTTACACATACATATTTTTTAATAGTAATTACATTGCAGAAAATAATATAGAGAAAAGCAGAAACCAAATGTTCAACTGGAAAAATTTGACTAGGTTTTTATTTTTTGAGGGATGTGTGGTCTTTTTAGTTTAGTTTTCTATGTATTTTAAAAACAGTATTTATTCAGTATTTAATCAGTCTGTATACCTTGTAGTCTACATTTATATAGGAATTCATGGTGTAGCATTGTAGGATCAACACTGGACTATGAACCACAAAGTCTACAGTTCAGACTCTCCAGCTGCTCCTTAGAAACCCTATACAGGGCCCTCTGTGTGGGTTAAAACCTGGAGTCCTTGTGTGGTGCTGTGGGCTAATATGTCAGACTGCAGAGTCGTTTGAACTGCAAGGTAGATGGTTCAAGCTCACCTGCTGCTCCTTGGAAACCCTATACAGGGTCGCTATGGGTCGGAATCGACTCCACAGCACTTAACAACAACAGCAACCTTTTGGCTAGCAGCCAAATATTAATCATTTGCATCAGTGAGGGAGTTCATAATACATTTTGCCAAATTGCTTTCCAAAACAGTTGTACCGGTGTTGTTGTTGTTGTTTTTGTTAGGTGCCATCAAGTCGGTACTGACTCATAGCAACCCTATGCACAGCTGAAAGGAACACTGCCCAGTCCTGGGTCAACCTCGCTACTGTTGCCACGCTTGAGTCCATCGATGCTGCCACCTGGCCAATCCATCTTGTTGGGGATCTTCCTCTTTTTCTCTGATCCTCCACATTACCAAACATAATACTCCAGCAAAATATCGTTTCCAGATTTGGAGATTATAATTTTAATTTTTTTGCGAATTTCAAAATTTTGGCTTATGTTTTGATTTGTATGTGTGAGTTGCTAATGATATAGACTATGTTATTGTATTTGCTTAATTGCGGTTCGAAATGTTACCTTATGTTGCCATTTTCTTCTGCTGTTTCCTGCTCATCACCCTGCTTTCTCTACAGTAACTACCTGAGTCCCCGGTCAGTGGCTTTCTTCATGCTTTGTTTTTTTTTTTTTTTTTCCTTTTTAATATTTTTATGTTTGACTCAGTTGTTATTAGCTGTTGTAATCAGCCCCCAGCTCCTGACAACCCCCATGCATAGTAGAGCAAAACTCCGCCCAGTCCTCTGCTACTATCAACATGATTGGTTGGGATTTAGACTTTTGTGATCCATAAGATTTTCATTGGCTAATTTTCAGAAGATTGCTAGCCCTTTCTTCTTAATCTACCTTAGTCTGAAAACTGTACAAAACATGTTCATTATCATAGCAACATACAAGCCTTACGCTGACAGACAAGTGGTGGCTATGTTGAGGTGCATTGACCAGATATCAAACCCAAATCTCCTGAAGGGAAGGCAAGAATTCGATCATTGAACAAACAATGCCCTTGCCAGACTCTGTTAACATTAAAAAATATCTATAGTAGATATCTTGAGATAGAATAGTAATGCCTTTGTTAAGTAATTTTCTGTCAGCAATTTTTACACTTGGCTAAGGACTTCTGTCACACTTTAGTTTAATCCCAAAAGACTTGATTCTAAATAAGTACCGTTGCTGTTAGTAAATACATAGGCTATGTGAAGACATAAGCCTTCATTTAAGATGTGCTTTAATTATATGTTTACCCCTGGTATTAGAATGGAAATAACTCATAGTAGGTGAGTTGCTACTTAAGTGTCATTAAAAAAAAAAAAAAACAATGTTGCAGATACACTTGTAAGAACTGAGGGTAAAAAGTAAAGGTAACTGCATTCTCTTCAAATGTATAGGACCTCATTCATTCATCAGAAGTAAACTGAAGTGACTTAATAGTATAATATTAGATTCACAAACACTGGTTTAGAAATAGTTAAATGTGTAACTAAAATAATGTTGTTGTTGTTGTTTTTTTTCTTTTTAATTTTCAGGTTTACAAGTAAAAGTAACCAAACTGAAAAAGGAACGAATTTTGTAAGTATCATTACATAAAACTGGTGTTTTATTTATAAGGTAATTTACACTGATGTCTTATTACACCTCAGTGTCTTTTTATAGGGATATTAGCTTTGCTTAGTATCGGTCTTATGTTGTTGTTGTTGTTGTTAAGTGCCGTCGAGTCGGTTCCGACCCATAGCGACCCTGTACAGGGTTTCCAAGGGTGTAAATCCTTACGGGAGTAGAAAGCCTCATCTTTCTCCCACGGAGCGGCTGGTAGTTTCGAACCGCTGACCGTAAGGTTCGCAGCCCGATTCGTAACCACTACGCTACCAGAGCTCCTTATCGGTCTTATGTAGGACACTGATTTTTAGAAAAATTCTAAAGTGAAATGCATAACTTTGTAATTGAAGGTATATCTTAGGTGAATATTTGCATATATTGGTTTATCTGTTAATATAATTTATATATACCCACTGCCATCTACTTGATTCCAACTCATAGAGACCCTATAGAGGTCATCTTTCTTCCACAGAGCGACTGGTGTGTTTGAACAGCTGACCTTTTGGTTAGCATTCCATTACCTAACCCACAGCACCACCAGGGCTCCTTTAATTTACATATGCACACATACATATTCACATATAAAGAATTTTTCCATAAGGTATTTATTTAATTAGGCTAGAAGTGATCTGAAAACTTTTGTGATCCAGCTGTTAAATAGCATTCTTTTGTCAGTAAGAATAACACCTCAAATTGAAGATGCTACAAGAAGGGGGGAGCATAGCAATTCTTGAATTTCTAAATTCATTTAAGAAACAGAAATTAAATGGGTATTCTGAGACTCCATGAAAGTAACTTGAAATTACCAAAGAACTCCCTCAATTGTTTTCATTACTAAGTCCACAATCAGGTCTGATTTAATAATTTAGGAACGGATTTTACTTATGGTCTTTGAAGATTCCCATTCAGGAATCTGAATCAGATTTTTATAGTAGAAGGTAGGTACACATAACAATAATCATTGTTGTTGTAACTAGTGATAACTGGATTTGTGTTAAGGCGTATACCCTTGGACCTCAGTTCTTCTAAATTTATGAAGTTCCCAAAGCTGTAACAGAAAGCTACATTAGTACACACCAGTGGTTTTCCCTATTGTAATATGAAAATTGGGAAGATTTCTTCATACCTGGAAAGTCATTTGGAAGTGGATTTAGATTCAGAAATAGAAAATCATGACCTTTTTTTTTAAAAAAAAGTTATGTTTAAAATGTTACACGTCTTCTTAATTACAAACACTTTTATGCTTTGTTGTATTGAAAGTATACATGTGCCTACCTTTAAAATATCCTTTACTGTAAAGTAACCTATCTCTCTGTTTTTGTGATAGAGCTGTGTTTAGTTCCTACAACTGCGAGATGTTTCTTACTCCGGGAATAAGTTTCTGAGTATTATATTTAGGATGTATATCTTATAAGTTAGAATATTTTCTACTGTGAAGAACAGAAAAGTAGCCAGAAGTAAATTGTACAGTAAGATAAGCGTATCTTTTTACATGTTGTTGTTATGTGCCCTGGAGTCGGTTCTGACTCATAGCGACCCTGTACAGGGTTTCCGAGGCTGTAAATCTTAACGGGAGCAGAAAGCCTCATCTGTCTCCCGCGGAGCAGCTGGTAGTTTCGAACTGCTGACCTTGTGGTTCGCAGCCCAATTCGTAACCACTGCGCTGCCAGAGCTCCTTACATAGAAGATCTAAAATGAAGCCTGTTACTGTTGTGTAGATACAGAGTAGAACTACCCCATAGGATTTTCTAGGCTGTAAACTTTATGATTGTGGCGCTGTAGGCTAATGCCTCAGACTACAAAGTCATTTGAATTGCAATGTCAGTGGTTCAAGCTTACTAGCTGCTCCATGGAGATCCTATACAGGGTCGCTGTGGGTGGAATCGACTCGATGGCACTTAACAATAACAACAATCTTTACGGGAGCAGATCACCAGATCTTTTCTCCACAGAACAGCTGTTGGGTTAACCATTGACATTTCAGTTAGCAGCCTAGTGCTTTAACCATTAAACTGGTTAATTGAGTGACTCAATGACATCATCAAAGGAACCAGCTTATTTCTGTCTGATCTTTGCCATCCTTATTGTCCTTTTGCCCGTTTAGTCTTGACTTACTGCAGAATAGCAAGATTAGTAGTTAGACATGAATTCTTTATATTGTACCTTAATTCAGTATGAAACGTAATGATTTTATAAATGCTGGATTGACAACCAATCATTAGAATGACGCCTTTGGAGCCAAACTGTTGGTTACTTTAAAGAAACAATACTAAAACTCATAAAACATTAGTTTGCTATTAGAGTTACATTTTAAGCTACATTCACTAAATACTTTGAAGGAACATAGTTTTACTAAAGTGACTCTTTCATGCGGGCCTCATAATAGCATATTTTAGAAAATAATGCTTAAAATTTATCTAAAAAAGGTAAATAATGCGGAACCCACTAAGCTACTAGGGCTGGTTAGCATCTATGGATATTAAAATTAAACACCAGACTAGAGGCACACCTGGTAACTTAGGTGATAATAATTCCTTACTTCATTGTATAGTTTACAGAGTAATTTGATCCTCTTGTAATTGTTGTTGTTAAGTGCCATCATGTTGGTTCTGACTCCTAGTGACCCTGTGTATAGGGTTTCCAAGAAGTGACTGGTGAGCTTGAACCGCCAAAGAAGTCAGCTTTGCCATCTAGCACATTAACCCACAGCACCACACCAGGACTCCTATTTGATCATCTTTTGTTGTTGTTGTTAAGTTGTTAACAACATTAACCCACAGCACCACACCAGGACTCCTATTTGATCATCTTAGCAGCCTTTTAATAGGTATTTTAACTACTCTTTTATTTTGTGCCTCGAGTTTATACATTTGGAAGCACAAGTAAGTAATTGAATTATCTGAGGAATCAGAGAATTAAAGGGGTGGCACTGTAGGATCAGCACTAGACTGTTGAACCACAAGGCTGGTGGTTCAAACCCATAAGCCATTCCTTGGAAACCTTATTATACAGGGTTGCTGTGAGTCAGAACTGACTAAAGGGCACTTACCAACAACAAGAACAGTAAGTTAGGTATTTTCATTGTGGGACCAGGAACTTGTTAGGTGCCAGTGAAGTCAGCTCTGACCCAGAGTGACCACATGCCCAGCAGAATGAAACACCGCCCAGTGGTGTGCCATCCTTATAGTTGTTACACTTGAGCCCATTGCTGCCACTGTACCAATCCGCTTCATTGAGGGGTCTTCTCTTTTTTCACTGACCCTCCACTTTACCAAGCATGATGTCCATCTCCAGGGACTAGTACCTCCTGATAACATGTACAAAGTATGCGATGTGAAATTTCACCATCCTGGTTTCTAAGGAGCATTCTGGCTGTACTAGGAACTAGTACTATAGCCTTCCCTTCCAGTATAGTGTACAGTATACACAGGGCACAGTAACAGTCAGGATTTCATGTAACAGTCAGGATTTTGTATCTCTAAATTGTGGGATGCCGTCAAGTTAGCTCTTAACTTATAGGGAACTTATTTACAATAGAACGAAACACTGCCCCATCCTGTCTGTGCCATCCTTACAATTGTTATGTTTGAGCCCGTTGTTGCTGCCACTGTGTCAGTCCATCTCATTGGGGGTCTTCCTAATTTTCATTGGCTTTCTACTTTACTAAACATGGTGTCCTTCTCTAGGGACTGGTCCTTCCTCTCAGCTTGTCCAAAGTACAAGAGACATAGCCTTGCCATCTTTGTTTCTAAGGAACAATCTGACCATACTTCTCCAAAACAGATTTGTTCATTCGTTTGGCAGTCCTTGGTACTTTCAACATTCTTGACCATCACCACGTTCTTCATATAATCCAGCTTGTCAGATGGTATGCTTAACATACAATTTCAATAAGTATGGTGAAGGATACAACCCTGCCATATATAAAATACTACCGAGCAAATTCAAGTATAATTCGAACTCTGATTGATAAGATATGTAAGCTCTTTGTTTTGATATAAGAAGTTGATGAACGTAAGTGGTGAGACCATAATTTGAAGATCTCAAAACAGAATTATCCTGTTGTTCTTGTGTGCAATCTAGTTGGTTCCAACTTGTGGACCTTATATAGGGTTTCCAAGAGCATCTGGTGGATTTGAACTGCCTACCGTGCAGTTACCAGTTCACTGCTTATCCTGTAGAGCCATACCAGGGCTCAGTTATCCTGTTAAGAGTTTTTGTTTTGTTTTTCTCTAAAAAGCATAACAGTTATTCTTCGCTTTTAGAGATGCGCAAAGACTAGAAGAATTTTTCACCAAAAACCAACAACTGAGAGAGCAACAGAAAGTTCTTCATGAAACCATTAAAGTTTTAGAAGATCGGTGAGTCTGTTACTTGGATCTGGTTGAAAAAGAAAGATATTTTACTTAACATTAATGTTGGTTTTAATTTATGACTGATAGTGATGTTTTCCCCAATCCTCTATCACCTTTTAATAAGTTCTTTTTTATGATATTAAAATGTATTATTTTTATTATTAATTATAGTGATCAGATCATTTACCCTTTAAATGATCTCCTTACCTGGTATTTGCTATAAATTGAGATTAAAGGTGGTAGTTGTTACTGTTGCTAAAGTACCATCAAGTCAACTCTGACTCATAGCCACCCTGTGTAGGGCTTCTGAGGAGCAGCTGACCTTGGTGTTCACAGTCCAGTGCTGATCCTAACGGTAGCATTGTTTGAATTCTTTTAGCACTTTAACTTCATTTTTATTTCTAAGAAGAATAGAAACTGCTTCAGAGTTTTATTCTTGTCTTGTTTTCTTATTCCAAAGTCCCTGGTGGTAGTGCAGCTGTTAAACATTCAGCTGCTAACTGAAAGGTGGCTTGAATCTACCAGCCTTTCCATGGGAGAAAAATATGGCAGTCAGCTTCCATAAAGATTTACAGCCTCAGAAACCCTATGTCTTTACAGGAGTAGAATGCTTCATCTTCTCCCATGGAACAGCTGGTAGTTTTGAACTGCTGACCTTGAGGTTATCAGTGCCTACGCTCTAGGGGAATGATGGTGGTGGTTACATGCCATGGAGTCGGTTCCGACTCATAGCGACTCTGTACAGGGTTTCCAGGGCTGTAAATCTTTATAGAAGCAGAAAGCTTAATCTTTCTTCTGCAGAACAGCTGGTAGTTTAGAACTGCTGAGGTTAGCAGCTCGATTCGATTATAACTACTACGCTACCAGAGCTCCTTGTTGTTGTTCAGTGCCGTCGAGTTGATCCCGACCCATAGTGACCCTGTATAGGATTTCCTAGGAGCGGCCGGTGAGTTTGAACTGCTGACCTTGCAGTTCAAACAGCTTGGCAGTCTGGCGCGTTAACACACAGTGCCACACCAGGACTCCCCAGAGCTCCTTGTTGTTGTTCAGTGCCATTGAGTGATCCCGACCCATAGCAACCCTGTATAAGATTTCCAAGGAGCAGCTGGTGAGCCTGAACCACTGACACTGTAGTTCAAAAGACTGCAGTTCAAACAGCTTTGCAGTTCAAAAGACTTTGCAGTCTGACACATTAGCCCACAGCACCACACCAGGACTCCCCAGAGCTCCTTAGGGGAAATTGAAAAAAAGGATTTCAATAACAATGGGAAGCCACTAGAGAGTTTAAGCAGGGCAATGCAAAGGGATATATGAGTGGGTACTGACAGCATCTACTGTAATATTCAAATAGAGATGCCAAGTAGGTAGTTGTATATATGAGTCTCCAAATGAAGAAGCTATTGAAAATACCATGGCTTGGGTCAGGTGCACCTTAGTCCTCAAGCTGACATCTCTGCTCTTCAATACTTTAAAAAGTTCCTGTGCAGCAGATT